CCCGAATTCACCACGAATACAAGTAGACTGGCGACAACTTGAAATAAATAAAAAATAACGGCAGCGCTCCAAAAACACGTATACTCAGCTTGATACATATTATTACATATTTTTCACAGCCGTATCAGTTTGGCAGGGATACCAAACTCAGACATAGGGGCGTGTAGACAAATCTTTTAAAGTCAACAAATAGGTGCTGAGTGTCGATCCCTTTTTCGCGGTTTTTTTCCAAGATTTGGCGTTTTGGTCTGTGGTGGATTTGCCAGGTCTAAGGCCACACTGATAAGGCACAATCAGTTCAATGATGGTAGGCTTTAGTCTTTCACACAACACGCTCGATAAGACCTTGTAACCTATGCTTAGAATGTTGATAGGACTAGCTTCCTTCTTCAGTTCCCTATAGCGGTCCCACATAGCGTGCGTAGAGCCCGATCGCAGCGTGGCCCTGTAAGCGGCATCTTTTTCTCTGCAGCTTCCTGCCACTCCTCATCGTACCAGTTGGTCTTCCGGGCTCGCTAAAATCCAACTACTTCTTCGGCTGCGGTACTTAATGGTCGGGAAATGTGGTTCCACTACTCGCATATGTCGGTTGGTTGAAAGTGCTCTCTGAGAGCACATGTGAGAGCCGACAAGCGAATGCATTGGCTGTCTGTTGTGATTGTATCTTTTCGACGTTAAGCTTTCCTAGCATTTTTGGGCGCACATTTTTTTCTGCGCAGAATCGGGAGCGTATATTAGCTACAACAAGATAGTCGTCCGAGTCGATATTTGGGTGTCGGAGTGTACGTACGTCTAAAACACTAGAAGCGCGCCTTCCGACTATCACAACATGATCGATTTGGATTCCCGTTTTTCGACCCGGGCCAGCCACGTAGCTTGATGGATCATTTTATGCTTGAACCTAGTACTACATGGAACCATGTTTCGGGCGAAATACGTGTTTATATAGCAGGCCGCCTGATCTTAGACAGACACCCGCTTGTAGCCGCACTTTCTGGCGAACAATCGCTGCAGACTTCGGTGAGCCCTTAAACCGAATAAGTCGGAGTGGCTCCACCGGGAACTCCCTCCATGACCCAAGGCTCCATTCGTATTAGTTACCGCATCTCGCACATGGGTTGCTCACGTTGTCCAGAGTGCGCGAACGAGGACGCAAGAGTCGGGGCTGAGAATAGCCGTGCAACTGTAACTGCATACCCAGCACTACGACTATACCCCGTTGCACTCCATATCACAAAGTAACGAAACTAAATATCTTGGAATGCACCTTGATAGAAGATTAACCTGCAGAGCTGACGTCTTTACTAAGCGTACAGCAATCG